GGTCCCCATGTGGCTTCAGGGGCCCCCATCACCCCCACTGGGCAGCCCTGCGCAGGCACCTGCACCCCAAGACGTGGCCGAGATCCCGTCCCTTCCCCAGTTCTCGCCAGGCTCCACCGTTCCCCCCCAGAGCGCCTGGCAAAACAGCCATTTTCATGCCCCAAGCACCAACAGCTGAAATGAACTATCGTGGGGCTGGCTGGGGATGCCTGCCTGTCAGAGGGGCTGTCTCAGCCCCCCTGCCCCAAAAGCGGGGCCAGAGCCCATGTTTAACATCACCAGCAAGCATGGCTGCCTGCGGCTGGCACACGGGGCGGAGGGAGGGTAGCCTGGGGCTTCAGCGTCTGCCCAGGGCACATCCCACCAGGACCCCTGGGGGAACGTGGCCCTGGGAGCGGGCAGTCCCCATCCCAGCCTGGGCAGCGGCACAAGGGCACACAGGAGGAACCCGGCCCGAGCCCTGACTGCCCCAAAACGTGGGGTTTGGAAAGGCGCATCCCCAGGGCAGAGGGAGGAGGCGTCCAGCCCCAGGCTTGCGTGCTGCTCATCAGGGCTGCAAACACCATTTGTTCCCAGAACAGGGTGTTTTCAAGGATGAAAGTAGGTGTTCCTGGGAGGGTTGGTTTTATGGTATGGAAGGAGACAGTGCTACCACGTGGAAGACGTTGATTACCCCGCATTATCTAGCCCCAAGACCCTGGCACAGCCTCAGTGCCTGTCCTCTGTCTCATGGCAGGTCTGGCATCGCTTCCTCGCTCCTACCCAGCTCCCTGGGAAGAGACGGGCCTGGCTTTGCCCCATCCCATCCCACTGGGCTGCGGCCGGGGCCAGGGAAGGTGCCGAAGGGCTGAGGGAGGGGACGTGCCCAGCCCTGCACCTCCTGTCGCAGAAGGTGGAGGGTCGGCGCAGGACCCGGCCGTTTCCCATCTGGGAACTCTCCGGAGAGGCAGCTCCAGGCACTGGGCGCGTCACGCATCCTTTTGGGAGGCCGGGGAATTAATCCTATGATGGTCCGGGAGGCCTCCAAGCAAGGGAAGTGCTCTGTAAACAGCCGCCATCAAATATGCACATTCAGCTGAAGCCGAGTGATTAATGGCTCTGGGGTTTTTGTTCCTTCCATCCTGTGTTAACAGAGCCACTTCCCGGAGTTTCCAGCAGCCACTAGAGCCCCCAGCCCAGCCCTGGTGTGGGACAAGCCACGGCCACTGCTGCTCCCTGCGCCGGCCAGGCTCTTCCCAGCAGCGAGCCCAGGACTCCCAAGGACACGCACGCGATGCCAGGGTTTCGCCTCCCCTCCCGCTCCCACAGCCCGGATCGCCGGTCCCTCCAGGGGTGGTGGGTGAGTGAAAGCCCCGGGCGAGCCCCGGGAGGGAACAGTCAGGGCTGCACAGGCTGCACACCCACAGTGGTTTGCAGAGAGGGTAAGCACCAAGCGATGAGTTACTTCATTAGGGCAAGGATTACTTCGTAACGTCACCACGTAAGAGTTTAAAGAAGGGAAATACCATCCTCACAGACCATGCTCACTGCTACAGGATTTTGAGGCAGGAGGGACATAACAGAGTTAAAAAAATAAATTTTCCAAGCCCTGGAAGCCGCCACCCTTGGCTGGGGTCTGGTGCAGCTTTCAGCTGGGCTCCAGCAATGATGGACCAACACCGACAGGTCCCGGGGGGATCAGTCCTGGCCTTTTGGCACCCACTGGTTGCACTGGCTGCCAGGTCCGTGCCTGGTGCTGGGGGCTGTGGAGCTGCGCAGCCTCCGCCCGCGAGCAGGGGGCAAAGCGGCCACTGCCATCAGGGACTGGACTGACGTTCCTGGGAGAGGCAACTCTCCACGAGCCCTCGGCATCACACCCCAAGCCCCCGGGTGCCCCTCAAAATGATGCTTCAGGTGAGAAAAGAAAAACCCCATAAATCAGCATCCGAACCAGAGCTGAGCAATTATGGAGCAGGCCTTTCTTTTAAAAAGCAGTTTCCTGGACCTGTCATCAGGAGATTAATAGCTACCAGAAAGTCCATCATCTCGTGATGCACTTCCTCTGGTTCGGGGCTTGCAGAGCACTTGACGCTGCGAGCGCCTGGGAGCTGCCCTGGCCTCCGCCGCGTGGGCAGATGGGCAAGATGGATCGCAGAGGAAATCGGAGTTACGGAAACCTGATAAACCTCCAAACTCCACGAGGGCCGGCCCTAATGGCACGGTAATCGATCCAGGGAGAGGCCAGGGGACTCGTCCAAGCTCAGAGTAATGTGGCAGCGGGCCCCCAAGGCAGCTCTCGCAGGTTTGGCCCCGAGCTCCCCCTCGCCCCCCATGCAGCAACCCACCGCAGTTCCCGCTCCACCACCTACTTGGGGTCTTTCCCTTAATAGACTCGGAGGATCTTCCCTCCATCCCGGAGGCGCGCACAGGCAGCTCCTCCTGCCCCGAATACGGCAAAGAAAGATCAACAGGTTACAGACACAGGGCGGAAAGAGCAAGCTTAGACACCAGGACAGTTTTCCACCCGACAGGAAACCTTTCGGGTCAGAGCGAAGGGAATGATGGTTTTCAAGAAACAGAAGCCCGAACATTTTTCCTGGAAGCCGATTGTGCTTCCTCCTGAGGGGCAGGGGCAGGGGGCTCTCACTGGGCAATGCTCGGCCCAGAGGCATTTCTCAGGAAACAAAACAGTTCAGTGGGGAGAGACAAATCGCAGAGGGATGAGTCCTGGCCCCCGGCACAGGATGCCCCCGCGCCACCGCCTCAGCGCCGGAGCCCCTCGGGCTGGGGTGTAGCCCCAGGCTGTCATCACCGGCACTCGCTAACGCCCGATATCAGAAAAGACAGGGCTGGGGTAGGTGCTAATGAGGTCGACTGGAACAAGATTAAGGTTTTCTGCATGGTGCAAAACACGGGAATCCCACCCTGGGGAGGCTCGTCCCACAGACCTGCTCTGCCCCTCGCCCGGTGACACGGCTGCACTGTCCCCATCGCAGCAATGCTGGGCTGCGCACGCCACCCAAACGGCCACCGCATCGAGGGGAGGACGGCCAACAACATACTGTATTGAAATACCTTCCCTTTTTTCTCCAGTAATGCAAAGTGAGACAAGCTGAGGGTTCTTTCTCAAATAAAGATGAAAAAAATAAAACTAAGCTCAGGTCCAGAGGAAATAAATACAATATGTTGCCTTTTGTATAATAGATGGCTTGTGTTTCCAGCTCATTACAGGATATCTGCCATCAAACACCAGATCCCATTCAAGAGCTGACTTGGATGTGTTTATACTTCTTGCGATTACATTGTTCACTTAGTACCATCATCAAACACCAGAAGTGTTTAAATGAGTAAGATGAAGATCTAAATTAAGCCTGGCTGGAATCAAAGACAACAGAGTCTGGGATGCTAAAACCAGCCCCAGGAGGAGGCTCCTGTGGGGCGGGCGCTGGTGTGGGGAGGCAGCAGCCAGGGACCTGGCGCAGGGACCTGCTCCACCCTCTCGAGCTAGCCATGGGGGCAGGCAGCCCTGTCGCAGCTCACACAAACCTGCCAGCAAGTCTTCGCCTCCTGAAGGCGACAGCTACGGCACCGCGGCACCGGCCCACCACCCACAGCAGACCGCTCGCTCCCCCGGAGTGTTTTGCTGCTCCCTACTTGGCCGGACATTGCAAATAGTGCCCTGCACAAACTGCCCAAAAACCGCTTCCTCTCAAGCACTCGGCCCCCATCCAGTACGATGGGCAGCGGCCAGGGCTCAGAACGTTTTATGCCTAAGCACCGGAGAAGTTCGAGCCGTTGAGGTGCTGTTATTTTAATACTCCAGTGGAAAGCTGGATAGCTATTTTAGGATCACGGGTGAATGTGAATTGGTTCCAAGTACTTTTTGCTCTAGAATACTTTAGTTTTAAGGAATTGGTGGAAATAACTCGACAACTCATGCCCATTCGAGACAGGAGGTCGATTTACGTAGTCTACGTAAAACGTAGTCGATTTACTACACCCGATGCGTAGTCTTTCGTAACAACCTCTTCAGCACAGTTTACAAGGGTCGAGACGTGCTGGGCAGAAGCACGGGGCAGGCTTGGAAAGCTGTCTTGAAACACAGGCGGGGGAGAAGGATGAGGACAGAGAACTTCAACACAACAGGAAAGCAGCAGTTTAATAACTAATCCATCAGAGGGAGAGATTAGCCAGTTCTAAACACAACCTGAACTGAAATAAATACATTTCATTGTTAGCTTAAAAAAAAAGATACAGAAATGCACGCAATAGTAAACTTTGAGAGAGCAGAGGTACTGCCATTCTTCAGTGAACGTGGGCTTGCCACATGCCCACACATTTTAAAGATAATCAAAGATGTTAGCAGCCATTCAAGTGCAGAGAAAAGAATAAAAACCAGTGACGTACAAAGTTACTATTTCGCAAAAGTAATGGCAAAAGAGAAAGCAACGGTTTAACGCAGGTATTTTGATGCGACAAGATCAGTTTAAAATCACTTGAACTGCTGCCATTAATACTGGAACTGCAGAAGAAGGGCAATTAAGCCAATTTTTGCCTTATGTTTGGAGCATTGCTGTTACCGACCTGAATCATAAGTCACTGCAGACAAATTCTGGGAATAGTGATGTTAAATAGCCAGGCTCAGGCACTACACAGCAGATCAAAGGGATTTTAAGAAAAGGCTCTTTTAAAAAAGTTGCATTTTCATATAAAGTAACAAAAATTGGCAAAACTAGCTGAATGCTCCATACAGATTTTCCAGTCTCCACACGGGACGCTGCAGAATTACCAGCCCTTCAGAATGAGACATTCTTCATTCAGGTCCGGTAATTTCAGCTCCGTCACCGCTTGGCCCAAGTCCTCCTCTGTCACTTAAAGGCAGAACGGTGGGTGGGTCACATCCCTACGCTGATGGGGAGGGGAGCTACCTGGGGCCGAGGCCCCCACCGAACCAGGTGAAAGGAACGCCAAAACCGTGGAAAGGAACCCCTGCCTGCTGCCAGCACCAGGAACAAGCAACACCTCTGGGGCAGGCGAGCAGCCCTGCCCCATGGGGCGTCCCTCTTCCCGGAGCAGGGCCACATGCCACGGGCGCCCGGGCTCGGGGCTACGCTGCGTCCCAGGGCCAGGCCCCGCGCCAGCAAGAGGCCCCTGCGCTGGCACAGCGAGGGACCGATGTACAAGTCACCTTTACGCTGGTAACGGCGCTCGCAGCGTACCCTCTGCCGGTGCAGCCACCCCACGCTGTGCCCCCCCGGCAGCCGAAGAAACCTCCGCTGCGGTGGAGCCTTTCAAACAGCCAGGCTGCAGCCCACCGACGCGGCAGTAACCTGCGGCATCACCTGGCCCCAAGCTCAGGGGCTGAAGAAGTGACCAAAACACTCCGGGTCCACTACTCACGCACCGGGGGATGTCGGCATCACTGGAAACTCGGGTATTGTGTCGTGACAGACGGGGACCGAGGAGGGAAGCTCGCCCAGTTAGTTCTGCTGTCCGAAGGGAAGGAGAGGCTGAGACGCCGCAGGCAGCAGCGGTGGTGAGAGGGAATGGGACTAGAAACACATTGGTTTCAATAAACTACTCAATAAAAGAAAGGACTTTAAAAAATATATCTCTATATTCTTTATATCGTATAAATTATGCTCGTCTTTTTGTAACGTTCCGCTATATCCTACCCATGAAGCTCCGAGTGCCTCAGTGTGAACGAGGTAACGATTCGGTGTTTCATTTCACTTCATTTGTGTGTGAGGGACAAACCTACTTCGGTTCGTTTTAATACAGTGTAAATAAATGCATCGCCAGATGTACTTGGTAAAGCTCCAGCCTAGAAAAGGCATTATTGTGAGCAATACAGAGTTGGGATTGCTGCCTGGAAGTTTAAGTGACTGGACTTCCTTCAGGAAAAAAGTCTGCTGTGCACGTATGGTACAGACCATCCCAGTAACATTTGGGAATTCGGAGCATCACCACAATGAGCTTGGGAAAACTCGAGTCACC